ACAAATAATCCAACCAAATGGCATACTGACATCATTATGACCCCCCCACAAAATAACAAAGCTCAGATCTGGATAGATCTGATCAAGCTCAAAGGAAAGTTCTGCAGAGATTGATATATACTACCATTCATTGGATATACCCTTGGAGAACTTAGCCAAGCAAAAACCTTCATGAAACTGGATACTCAACCTGGGTTCTGGCAAAACCTACACTACTACTGATCTTCCACAAACTCTTTGAAAGATTTAGTTCTTCACCCGGTGAAGAAATCGAAGCATTATGAGAATTCTTGAGTGCACAGAATTTCTGGTACAGGGGAACTAAACAGAGCCTAGCATTCATGGAAAGAAATCAAGACATAAGAACTCCAGCAGTTTTTGCCTTCTGTCCGCCAAATAAAACCACTACAGTTTCAACTGATACCTCAGGTTCATCCTGTGAGGCAGTCCTTTTGTATTCATGGTTCAATGGCATATGCCTCATGAGCACTCACCAATATAGAGCAACACTATGCATAAATAGAAAGAGAATACCCACTGGATGGGCTTATACACATTTCAGAGACTTTCTAGTTGGTTTAAATTGTCATGTAAAAATTGATCACAAACTACTGGCCTTGTTTTGGTTAAAAATAATGCCTAGATAAGTTCCCACCCAGCAAACAATGTTTTTAAATGCGACTCATAAGGTGTCAGATCTTGATTGTGGATCTGGAAAAAACATTCACACACCTGATACCCTCTCTCCAAACACACTACAACTACAGTGTAAACAAAAGGAGCTGCTCACAAAAAGGTAGATACAGTGCTTACTAATTTACCAAATACAGTAAAACACCTGCAAAGATTGAAAAGAAAAGCAAGAGGCAGATAACATACTTAGTCATGTCATGACTTTTTGCAAAGAGGGCTGGACAAAACAGACAGTCAGAAATATCTATAAAACTATACTGAGTACACTTTGGGATCTTGCCATAAACCAAAATCTGTTGTTGAGGAAATCCAGATTAGTTATCCCTACAATACTGCAACAGGAAATCCTTGACAGACTGCATGAGAGACACCAGGACATTGCAAAATACAAGGAAAAGGATAAGCAAACAACTATAACAGTTGAAAAATATATGTATGCTCACATAGAAATTAACCCATCAGAACCACTACAAGCTATTCTACTACACAGGCCGTGACAAAAAAGTTGGACAATTTTCTCCTGTATCTAGATTATACAAACTATATTTTGAAGACTGATTATTTCTTAAGTTTATTAACGTTGGCATGTTGCTACATGCTACATGTAGCTGTGGAACTGTCAAAACCCATCTCTACCTGGTTAAGATAAGTCATATCTGAAAATAGCTCTCAGTTTCTCTAGAGCAATTAATAAATTTGTAGAAACCTTTCAGTTCACTCGTGTCACATTCTGACCTCATTTCCTAATGAATACTAGTGAAGTAAAGCTTACAATAAATGACAAAATTTCTAATACTTCAGGTTCTCATCTCACCCTGTTAGTATCCTAGTGAGCTCCATTAATTGAGGAACCGCTAGTGGGGAGGATATGGAAGTGCTGTACCCCAGCTATTCCTTCTCAGTTCGATCCCTGCTTACCTGTTTTCCCTGGTCTACAGAAGTTGAAAATGTTTTCAACATGTCGGAGGGTGCATCTACACGAGATGTTTACTGCGGAGTAGACTAATTAGTTTCACAGCAAACATTGTGCGTAAATACAAGTACTGTCCTGCTGCAGCTTTTTAATCCACAGCAGCGCACATGTAGACACTGCCCAAGCTGACTGGGGTAGGAGGGGCACCCTCATACCCCAAACAACCCCTCTGCAGCATGTTGAGCTGGAGGGAGCAGCCCGAAGTTGGCAGGCTGACCCCCAGGGCTCCCTGCCAGCCACGGCCGCTCTGACCCAGCAAAATGTGCTGTGGTTGTGGGCACGTGTTCAAATGGCATACCCAGGAGCAATAAACTCCAGAGCCATAAGCTTGAGAAAATCAAAATATTATTAGCCAAGTGTGTTAAAAGGCATAATAAACAACTGACGTAAGGCTGAAGGTTATCCCCATCCTTTATTCTAGTTTTGTGTTCATTATTTCATACCCGTTATATCTTACTGTTAATGTAAGTTTTGGATAAGGGTTTCAATACCCTTCCCTTTTCAGAAGTGTATGTGATGTTAGATGTGAACATTTAGAGCCATGATTTAGGGTGGCCACAGACAGACACATGTTATGGGGGGAACAGTTTGTGTAAACAGGAAAATAAGGTAGTCTGGTACTCACTTTTACCATAGTGTCCTGGGTCTTTGCAGTTTCCACTGCAGGAATAGATTAATCACATTGGCCAGCAGGCGGCAGGAGAAGACTGTCATCTCAGACGAGTGGGGGGACATCATCTGTAGGCAGTCTGCTTAGCTTGGAAGGAGGTTAGGGGAGCATGACCTGGCACACGCTCTCTTCTTCTTCCTGCAAGGTGGGTGGAGCTCCTTCCTCGCAGTGCCTTCAAAGAGCTTGGGTTGCACATCCAAAACCATAAGCAGAACATAGCTTTTGCTCAAATCTGTGAAGAGGCCATCTGCTCCTAGGTTCCACACAGTATATATGCAGCTGTTGCAGTAGCAGCAGCACAGATGCAGTTAGAGATCAATGTATTTCCACTTAGTTATTTTGTCATGGTGCTAGAAGATAGCTGACAATGTTCATGACAGAAAGATTTCAGAAGCTAATGGTATAATCCAAAATCTTATGGGATGTAAGTAGATGTCACTTTTCTAGCCCCAGAAATGTCCACCTTGGTATATAAGAAAGACTTTGTGCAAGTAATGGAGATCTTAGGGAAAAAAAAAGTCCCGCACTCACGGGCTGTAGCAGGGGCTCTGGGGCCACATGGCAGAGCTCCTCTTCACAGTCCCCGCTCCCCGATCTCCCGTCCACCCAACCCAGCTCCGCCTGGCCCCAGCATCCCGATACTTAAAAAAGGCCCACACTCAAAAAGCCCCACACTCACCGGCTCTGGCAGCGGTGATCAGGGATTCTGATGGCCCATGGCAGAGCCCCCCCCCCGCACAGCATGGGGCAGTGGGGGGGCAGCAGGGATCACTCCCCACCCCACTTGGCACCCGCGCAGCAGCTGCCCCATGGTACGGGTGCAATGTGGCAAGGCAGGGCGCTACGCGCTGCCTGGGATCCGAATCTCCGAAATGGTGTCGAAACTCCAAAACAGATTCAGCCAAATCTAAACAGAGCAGTGATCTGAAACACCAAAACAAATCACCAACCACCGAAATCGCCGAATTCAAAATTGAAATGAGACACAGCCTTTTTGCACAGCCCTTATATACATATGTAAGTATACCAGTTTGTGTCATCTGTCTGCTTCTATTCAAGCATAGCTATTTGCTACAGGCAAACAGACTATTAACTGTTTTCTTGCCAACTGGTGGCAAGGTATAGTAAAAAGCTGTCTACTGAAGGCACCTACCTTTGAAGAGATCATGGTCTCTCTAAGGACAGTGTAATTTACATCAGGAAACAAAACCACTGTAAATTACACACAGGTATGCGATAATCTGTTCATGTACCCCTGAAAGCCCAAAGTTAGTTATTATTTTATATTTACCCCACTACACCTTTTACTGAGTTATAACCTGCAGCTAAATGCCTAATGCAAGGCGTTAAGGGAAAGTTCCTTGGGTCTCTGGCAAGTATGATATCCACTGACAAAAACAGAGTGGTTAAAAGTAATCACCGTAACTACCAATGCCTGAGATTGAACTATACTGAGTGCTTAGATTTCCTAAATAATTTAATCTTTGTTGTAAAAAAAAAAATTAAAAATTATTTCCTCTTCTATTTATTCGGAGTAGAAGAAGGATTGAACAGGAAGCTCAGTGTTTGTAAAGTCTTAAAAATGGAAAGCGCTACAAAAAGTCATAGGAATTATATAAATTTTAAAAAGAGAGCATAAAAGCTGCTTGCTTATAAGAATAAAATTGAAAAAGACAACAATATCCATTTTATAGACATTTATATAAAAGTGTTGTTTATTGTAAGGAAACTTTAAATATAACCAACAATATTGAAAATATTGTGACTGGCATTTATGGCCTTGATTGGAATTCATTGCTACACAAGTTATTCTTAGCATTTTTCTGAATAACATTAAGCTAGTGCAAAATATAGATAATTTTGTATATTAAGCATACAGAATAATGTAGTATTTTGGGTAATATGGATAACCTGATGTTTCCTTCTAATGGGCTGCTTCTCCCCCCTCCCCGCCCCCCAAATAAAAAATATAAAGGCAAATTACGTGGTATGTGTAACTATTAATACAAGGGTTCAATAAAAAAAACCTGACCTTTGTAAATTTGCTTAGATTGTATTTTTGTTAACAATGTTCATTTATAATTTATACCATAGTGTATGATATAAATAATGTATTGGTAACAGCATTATATAATCATAGTTTCATTTTCAAATATGATTGTATAAACTGTTGTAATAGTTCACTCTAACTGCAGGATATATTATTACATCAACATACACAAATACATCATATTAGAAAAGTCTTTGTCTAAGAAGGAAAAATGTTGTTATTCATTTGTTGAAAACAGGACACAAGCAACCTTGCCAAAATTCTTCAGGTTCTGTCTTGGCAAAACTGCTTCAACTTGTTTTTTGAGTGCTAACTTTCCACATAGAGCAAAAGACAGGTCAGTATGTAACAGTGAAATGGGACTGTCTGATAGTTCCAGTCAGACTTTTATTAGTGAGCAATTATCTGCATATCCTGTTGTAATTAAAATGATAATCTCTCTCCTCAGTCTCAGATAAAACAAACAGTTACTCCATGCTACTACTGCCAAAATAATAGTATTTTTGGTTTTCATACACCAAAGCAGAATTTGTCAGCTTTAACAACTTGCTTTCCAAATATGTATTAAGCACTCTTT